AAAAAAAAAACCCAATGGCTTTATGGGAAGAGAAGTGCCAGGTTGGATGGTGTGGACAGAACGACCCCTTGAGATCCTTTATTTTGTTCTTTTCAATAGGACCCCACAGATATTTGTGGTATGTCATGAAGACTAGAGATATCTTCTATTTTTAAAATCAGGTATTTAAGTCCAGCTGCTTTTAAAATTAAGATGGTAGAAAATGATTTTTGTTCCCCGTATCTTTCCTCTGAGGCAGAAAGCGAATGTAATATATAAGTGGCAGCTTTTATTTCTCATACCAGAGGCTCACATAGGATTTCGTTCTGCATGGGGGCTCTTGGTTTCGAAAACGCTTGAGCCTCTAGCACCATCAAACATCCAGCGGCTTCCTCAGTGTCCAGGCTGAGATATCCATATCCTGGAACAAAGCAGCCAATCCGAAGGATATGCATCATTGGGAGGAGGGAAGGCTGCCCCCTTAGCCCCTGCTCCCCATCATCCGAGGGAAGTGGAGGGGGCAAGTCTGGGAGTCACCAAGTCATGGCTGGAGAAGGATTTGGGTAAAGCCAAGTCTAGAGGCTGCCCGTGGCCTACTTTGGGACTATAGACTTCCCGCTTGTGTTCTAAGATGGATGTCTTTGAAATGATTAATCTGGACCAGCTAAAGGCAGTTGCTTACCGCGCGTAATCCAAGTTGAGATTTTCTACTTGATTATGTGGTATACATCAGGCTTTAAAAGATAGACCAAACTAGACCGGAATGTGTACATTTCAACAAATCAACAATTGCAAAAGGCTGCTGCTATTTACTGACATGGCACCGGATCCAAGGACTCCGTGGTCATAAATATTTCCAGATTCCTTTGCATTTTAACAATAACAGAGAACGGTCAGACGGAGACACATGATTACAGCATCTAACATCGATCCAATGGTCCAGTCTCAGTTACAAAGCAGTTTATATAGTTTTGCTCCATTTTCTATGAATTTTGTCTTTCGAATTATCTTTTATAGAATGTAGGTTCGAAAACATGTTTGAAAGGCAAATATTGAGAGGAGCCAGTCCTGGTGAACCGCCTTTCCTTCGGTTACTTTGGCAAGCAGAGAGATCACCATGGATTCTGAATGGGGTGGGCAAGTGTTCCACGGATCATCTTCTCCCACAAGCTCAGGGACAGGGCGCAGAGGAACAGAAACGGTCTTTTTTCAGTGTGTTGGCAGCAGGGCGTAACCCTTCAGCTCTTTAGGGCCTGTGAAAATAAAGAGAAAGGCAGCTGTCGTGTCTCTTACTGGCATTGTGAATAGTAACCCGGTGAGGCCTTGTTCCTCTGGTCCTTTGCTCTAAGTCTTCCAAGTTCTGACACCTGGTGATCATCTCTTGTCCCGATATTCCTCCTCCATGCCTTCATCCTGACATAGAAGGGTCAGACTCCCTGGCTTTTCCAAACATGCTAAGGCCACAGCTGTGTTGTCAACTGTGTCCCTCAGCCTTCCACGTGTGTATCAATTGTCCTCTCCCCACCGCTCCATCATATATCACCCCCCCAACACATACAAGAAAAAGGTTTTCTCTGTCCATGAGTGTGGATATTCTGAATTCTCAAGGAAGTTTAATAAGGAGAAAAAACTCCTTCCCTTCATCAGTAGTCAAAGGTAGGAGTCTGCGACCACGTGTGTGGGTACATGTGGGGCAAGAGGAAGAGAACTCAATGAAAAAGACCCCATCCGGCCGGGCACAGTGGCTCACACCTGTAATCCCAGCACTTTGGGAGGCCAAGGCGGGTGGATCACCTGAGGTCAGGAGTTCGAGACCGGCCTGACCGACATGGAGCAAGTCTGTCTCTACTAAAAATACAAAATTAGCCGGGAGTGGTGGCGCATGCCTGTGATCCCAGCTACTTGGGAGGCTGAGGCAGGAGAATCGCCTTAACCCGGGAGGCAAAGGTTGCGGTGAGCTGAGATGGTGCCATTGCACTCTA